AATGTAATAAGGAGAGGGATTACGGACATTGTGAGAGGGGACTTTAAATTGGATTTGCGATAGTAGGTCAGGTGAGTCGATGGAGTTTTCAAGGAGAGAATTAATGAAATGTAGATCAATAAGTTTGCGGCGTGATAATAGAGGGGGAATATTTAGAAAATGGCTAATATCAGTATAGTTATGATTAGGATTAGGTAATCCAAGTATAAAAGCAGCATAAGAAAGGAATTTATGTTGAACTATCTCAAGACGTAACTGATCCTTAGCAAGATAAGGGTGCCAAACAACAACCCCGTATTCTAAAATGGATCTAACAAGAGCAAAATATAGCGAACGGAGACAGGTAGGTGACGAAAAAAGCTTGGTATTACGTTTAATAAAACCTAAAACCTTATTAGCTCGACGCGTAATAATATCAATGTGATGGTTAAAAGAAAGAGTGAAAGAGTAGTAAATACCAAGATCTTTTATAAGAGATGCGCGTTGCAGCATAATGTTGTTAAGCAAATAAGGGTGATGAATAGGATTTCGAGATCTAGAGAAGGAGATGACATTACACCTACTAATATGAAGGGAGAGGCCTAGGGCGTGTACCCAATGATTAAATTGAATAAGTTCATTAGACAGTAGTAAACAGTCAGAAAGGGTTTCAATTTTAAGGAAAATTTTTATGTCATCAGCATAGAGAAGGAAATGAGCCTTTTTGAGGTAACTGGAAATTGAATTAACATAAAGGCAAAACAATAAAGGACTCAAATGACCACCTTGTGGAACACCAGATGTTACATCTGATAAACCAGATGAAACCCCATTAAGTTTGACAAACTGTTTATGGTTGGACAGGTACGAACGGAACAAAGAATGAAGAGGATCTCCAATACAAATACGGTCAAGTTCATTAATAAGTAAGTTATGAGGAACAGTATCAAAAGCTTTTCAAAAATCGATGAAGATTACATCAACCTGGGTGCCACTACTAAGGCAGTCATAAATAAAGGAAGAGAAAGAAACGCTACAAGAAATGGTGCTTCTCCCAGTGCGAAAACCGTGTTGTTGAGGAATAAGAATATGTTTTAATTTGGGCCCCAAATAGTTGAATATGATAGATTGGAATATTTTAGCAATGTGTGGTGATATGGAGATGGGACGATAGTTGGAAACAATAGAAGGATCAGAGGACTTGAGAACAGGAGTAACAGAGCAGATTTTTCACACAGATGGAGAAACACCTTCGTCCAAACAATTCCTAAACAAGATATAAAGTGGGAAGAACAAGGAAAGACGACATTGGAAAAGTAAGGAAGCTGAGATATCATCAGGGCCATTAGACGAAACACTTTTCAACTTATAAAGAGCAGAGAGGACATCATCTGGAGAAAAGTAGCAATTAGAGGGAAGGGAATAAGGGTGCACAAATGGGAGGACCGGAGAAGAGGATGAATTTACTGGCTTGAAGACGGATGCAAAATATTCAGAAAAGAAGGAAGCCGATTCTAAGTCAGAAGAAGCAGTAAGCGAGCCATATTGAACATTCGAGGGGATTGATGTTTGCCTGTTTAGATCATGAAAATATCTCCAAAAATTACGAGGTGAATGAATTAACTGAGTCTGAGTGGTATTAATATAAGCCTGGTAATTAAGCTTAGTTAAGCGTTTGCACTTGGCTCTTAATTCTGAAAATTTGCAGTAATCACTTGGGAGGGAAGTTCTTTTAAATAAACAATGAGCCATTTTTTTTTTATAAATTAAGTTTTTTAACTCTTTAGTAACCCAGCGAGGAAACGACGAGGTTTTATAGATTTTGAGAGGAACAAAGGAATTAATGCATTGAAATAATGCATCATTAAAAAAAGTGGCACAATCATTAGCACTGTATAGAGGAAAGGTATCGTTCCAGTTGAATGAAAGAAAAAACTTATTGATGGTCTCATAATTAACATTCTTGAAATCATAGTAAGAGATCGAATTAGGATTTTTTGTAAGTTTAGAGAGAGGGAAACAAATTGCTAGAGGTGGATGATACAAGTCAGCAGGGACTAGAGGTGATGTAGTGGTATTGGTAGTGACATCATTGGAGTTTGAAAAGACAAGATCAAGAAGACCATCAAAGGAGTTATTGATGAAATTGCACTGGAAGAGGTTAAGAAGGGAAAACGAGTCAACAATGAGGGAAAATGATGGTGAAGAGACTCCCGTTACAACCAAGCCAAGGTTATCAGAAGACCATTCTATTTTGGGTAAGTTATAGTCACCGATTATGATGAAAGAATGAGGAGAGTGGATGGAGATAACTTCATCAACCGATGAAACATGGGACTCATAAGACTGCAAAGGACAGTTAGGAGGTAGATAAACGGCTCCAAAAATGAAGAGACGTGAGGAGATTTTAGCTGAAACAAAGATTTGCTCAATGTTATAAGTATTTATATTAATGAGCGAGGGACTTAAGTTAGATCTAATAGCAATTAGTACTCCACCACCTCGAGAAAAGGTACTGGTAGCGCTATTTCTGTCAAGTCTAAAAACTGAGAAGTTGGAAAAGCCCAATTCTGAGTTAATAAAGTCAGGGGTGAGCCAAGTTTCAGAAAGAATCACCACATCATAATCACCAAACAAAGGAAAGCTTGCCCTGACCAAATCAAGTTTGGATCTAAGCCCACGAACATTTTGGTAGAAAATATTTAAGTTATAAATAGAATTAATATCACAATTATTATTTCATATGGGATTCTTAGATTTTAACAAATTACTATTATTACTTAAAGAACTATTTACATTAATGAAAACATTATTGACAACTTTAGAATGAAGTGACTTAAAATTAGTAAATTCAATCAAGAATTTGTTAAACGTTACTTTTGCAGCATGGCATAGAGTGCAGTCGGTGGTAGTTAAGAGAGAGTATGTAGCGAAGTGTGAACAGCATGTTGATTGGCAGGTGAAGGAAGGTGAGTTAACTTCAGTGTTGAAATACTTTGAGAGGTAAGGTTGTTGCATGCACCCGAGGGAGTATAAGGTTATTAGTTTTTTGAGTAAGTGGATTGCGATGAGTGGGTGAAATGGCCGGAAGTATGTGACGAATGCGAGGTTGAAACTATAGATGGATGTCCATTGTGGTATCTGATAGCAATATTAGTTTCACCGTTTTTTTTTACGGCAATCCAATTCCGCGTAAATACGTTTTATATTTTCACGTTCCTGTTTGGTGCGGTCACGAGAGATTGAAATTGGGTTGGGAACATCATTAGGGGATTGCGAACGTTCAAAAGAATTGAAGTCAGATATTAGCTTGAGAGCAACGTCTTTTGATGAGAGAAAAACCTTAAGGGGACGGGGGCCACGGTTGTTTGGTTTACCAAGTCTAATAGACTTAAGATTAGTAGGTAGAGGCGTCATGAAGGGTTGGAAAGTTTCTGACAAGAGTTTGGCATCATCCGATAGTCTATTTGCCAGTTGAGACGAAGATGATTCCGGTATGCCATGGACAATAACATTACGTGACAAATTCTCACGGTCAGATAATTCCTGTAATAAATTTGGAAGACAGTCCGTATATGCGTCTTTGCTTGAGGTGGACTCAAGGTCCTTAACACGTTTGGAAAGATCAATTAAATCAGTACGGAGTGAAGCGTTTTCTTCTTTTAGTTGACTGATTTGGGAGGTAAGAGATAGCATGCTCGCCTTGATTTCGGAAAATTTCGAGTCCATAGAGAGATGTAAGGCCTTAATTTCAGTCGAAGTTGATTTTTGAAATGTGCGTAGATCAGACATGGATTTATTAAAAACTTCTAAAGAAAGAGGTTCAATTTTGGAAGAAGAATAAGAAGATGATCGGGTAATCACTTTATCCTTATTACTCATTGTTGAGTTCCTTAAGAACGTTAAGATGTCCTTAGAAATTAATAAAAGCAACCACAGCAGTACAGATGTGAGTGAGAATAGAGCGCAGTAGTTCTGCGTGTAACTTAAGATACCCCTTAAATTTATTAAATGCAAACAACACTACATAGGCGTAAAAATACATTGGATCCAAAATATTGGAAACTTTGTGGACTTTCATTCAAGTCTCCGGAGATGATGCAAGAATCAGCTGATACGTAGTTTAAGAGGTTTGATAAGAAAAAGTTGAAAATGATAAGGTTGAAATACCTAAATTGCTTTCTTGATCAAAAGTTTAGAGCTTCGGTGGCTTGGTAGTGGAGTGAGATGAGCACTGTAACGATGAACAACTGAATTACAGTAAGAAAGGAATAATGCAAAGCAAAGCACGGTTTCAAAACAGGGGAAAAACTTAAACAATTTTAAGAATGAAAAAGGAGCAAACAAAAACGATACTATTATCATAATAGTATACTTTTATGAACTTTTTTACTGACAAAAGTGGTACTAAAATCTTCAGCAGAGTGTCGGGTTTCAGCCAAAAAAAATCTCAGCCAAATCGGTTCAGTAGTTTTTTCGGTTAGCGCGGTCGAAGAAAAACCCTTACAATTTTATATATAGTATAGATAGATGGATAGATAAATTAAAAGAAATAATTTGAAATGAAAATAATATCTCAACCATTACCATTTGAAAATTCAAATTTAAAAAATTAAAACACAAAAAGAATATTTTATTATTTTTTTGAATTATTAAACTAAAGTCATAAAGATCTAGTTTTAAATTTAAGTTAAAAAGATCACAATGTGTCAGAACTGGTGTTTTTATACTATTAATATAATATTTTAGTAACATATAATGTATGTATTGAAATTAAGATTAACTCCCTATTATAATGTCCTTATGTGTGTATTGTTTTTAACTCATAATATGCAAGTCCAGAATAACATACATTCTTATAATACATAAGAGTTTTTTATTAGATGTTTGGTTAATTAAGTACATGTAGAATGTATAACTGACTAACTGTCTCTCCGATCCTTAATACAATTTTGGTAATGGTTTTGCTTTATTAAATATATAGTACAAAATTTAATTTGTGTATATTTTTTTAATTTTAGGCTTAATTATTTCTGTCAAGCTTATGGGTTTTCTTTTTGAAGAAAAACCAAATAAAACTTGGGTTTGGTGGCTACATCATAATACTTTTTCATTGGTAAGAATATTTATATAGATGTGTAAAAATATTAAAAACTTATTCAAAATATACCAATAATCTGCTTTCTTATTCGTTCTTAGATTTGGTATTTTTATGTTTTAAAATTTTAGGTGAAAAATGATTTGATATATAATTTTTTTTTGGATTTCGAATTTCATTCAAAGAATTCATCAGGCCAAAGAAAAAATGGTATTTTGGAAGCTCTTGAGGTAATTACTTAATTTACCTTTTTCAATAAGTTGATCTATATAACACAGTTTTTTTTTGATATTATTTTGTATAAAACATTTTTTTAGATATTATCTGTCAGATATGATTTTAATATACCTGAAAACATTATGAACTCTGACTCTCTTATTCCATGGGCTTCTAAAAATATAGAAACTCTTACTAAAAATAAAATGGGTAAGTATAAAATATTTTATATTTAACATAAATTTAATGTTTCTTAATAAATATTATTATATGAAGTTCTTTGAGTGAATGTTGTAAGAATTGTTAATAATTTTATGTTTAAATCACTAATAAAACAGTATTTTATATTTTTGAAACTTTAGTCAAACTTTTTATTTAATCTATTTCAATAAATTGTACAGTAGTTATTATAATGATCAGTTTGAATATTTTTTATTGTAGCTAACAGGGAATTGAGTTGTAATAAGTTGTTATAGTATTTATAATAAATATATAATAAATAATGTATAATAATTTATAAAGAATATATATAATATTACTAGCATTATGTATTTACTACTTACACAATATGGAATTATGTATTAATTATAATATTTATGTATTTATGTATGTATTCATTAATACCTGTTACGTGCCAACCGTTTGATCCGTTAATTCAGTTACAACGTCTCAGTCAACGCTTGTGTGGAAGTGTAGTCAGGAATAATTAAGACTTCTTTTTAAAATAATTAAATTTATTTAACTCGTAAAATTATCCTAACTACAATTTTGTAAATATTCTTAGTAGAAATTATCTAAGTCCTAACAATTGTAACTTATAAAAATGATTGATATATTTCTAAGTCCAGACCATAACATACACTGACGTGAAGGTGCTCAGTGCAGCATAGCCAAAACTCGTCTGATTTGCCCTTGTTTTCGGATCCCTTTTATATGTGATATCTGTATGTGTGTGTGTAAATCCCAAGTGTGTGTGTGTAAATGGAATAAGATAATAAAATATGATAAATGTGATGAGTCGTTATTGATTCGGTGTGTGCGCTCTAAAATATGATAATTCTCTATTGATTCTGCATGCGTGTACTATCTCTTGACCGGCCCATACTTATTACAAGATCCAGGATGTGGTCAACCACCCACGTATATGTGACTCCGATATTCATATTCTTATTTAAACAGATAACCATGTGAACAATTTAACTTATTCACACGCCCAGTTTCGATGTTCATGAGAACCTCTTATAATGTGTGTTTTATATTATGTGACTACGCAGTACGCGACATACCCATTAAAACATATTTTTTGATTAGATATACATGCATACATACATATATATATATATATATATTTAATATCTATTGATTAACTATCACTATATGATAACCATGTACCATTATACATCACTAGTATAATTTATTTTATTTTTACTACTTCTTTAAACAACTAAATATATTTAATATTGAGCCAGTATAAGAATTTACCATTCTTAAGTCTGCTAATTTTTTTTTAGCTTGCTGCCTATTAACAATATTTAAAATTAATTTTTCAATTATTGAATATATTTGAATCAGAAATAGTACTGTTCGAAAATTAACTAATATTCTTGCTCATTTTTCTCTATTTTATGTGCTCTTAGGTTAGGTTAGGTTTAAAGCCCTAAAAATGTATTGAATTATATATATTATTAAACTAAAATATTTTTAGTTTCTTATGATAAGACTAATAAATTATTCCTCATTGAACAAAAACAAGTATTTTTATTTAATCAGTAGAATTGATTATAATTGGATTTTTAATTTATTTTATATTAACTTATTTTATGTTTTTTACTAATGTTATATTATTATTATAAATTTACTTTAGTGCATATAAAATAATTTGTGTTTATTTTATTTTATTATACGGGCTAGGCTCTTTTTGAAAATAACATTTGTGGTAACAATTTATACAGTAATTTAAAAAAGAGTAATAATAATAATAATGAAAATAATGAAAATATGGTTAAGTTATTAACAAATCGTCAAAGGCAGGATCTTCATTGGCAATCGACATTAGACGCCTTAAGGATTTATTAGCCATATAGTTGGTGGTAGAAAACGGAACATAGAAGGAGGCTGGAAATCGGGATGAATGAGATGGGACTTTAAAACAGATTAAGGAAAGCAGGATAGGTGAATCGATATCATTGTTTAATAGACCTGCAAGGAATTTAATGCCAGCAATACGTCGACGCTCAGCTAAAGAAATCAAGCCAAGGTTTGAAGCTACTGGCGTATAATTGTGAGGGGTACACGGAATATTTAGTTTTAGGCTAGCATAACGAAGAAATCTGCGTTAGACATTCTCAAGTTGTCTTGACTTATCAGCAGTATGAGGGTCCCAAATTATAGCCCCATACTCCAAAATGGGGCGCACAAGTGCACAAAAAAGTGCTTCTAACGATAAATTTGGATTAAAGTCTTTTGTAAATCGCATGATAAAACCAAGAATTTTGAGAGCCTTACAACACACATGTTCAATGTGATTACTTGGGTCAAGATTAGAATTAAGCTTGAAACCTAGGTCCGTGTTACAGTCGACAGCGCGGAAAACAGCTTTACTATTGAGGAAATATTGTGATATGAGAGAAGAGCGAGATCTAGTGAAGGTCATAATTTTACATTTTGGGAAGTTGAGTGTTAAACCCAAGGTATTAAACCAATTAGAAAAACGATTTAAATCAGACTGGAGTTTTTTGCTATCATCGAGTGTAGATACGCGTAGGTAAATGTTGATGTCATCAGCAAAACTAAGAAAGCAACAGTGGTGAAATACACGATGGAGATTATTAATAAAAAGTGAGAACAGTATAGGGGATAGGTGACTCCCTTGAGGGACACCTAAAGAAGCTAGAAATAAGTTAGATTTAACATCAGAAACTTTTACCCATTGGTACCTGTCTCTAAGAAAGGAACTAAACCAAGATAAAAGTGGTTCGCCGAAACCAGATTCTTTGAGAATATGCATGAGTACCGTATGATTAAATGAATCAAAAGCTTTCCTAAAATCGATATAGATTACATCAACTTGTGCTTGACATTGGAAAGACTCATAAATGTAATTACTAAATACAAGATTACATGTAGTAGTAGACCGTCTTGGGCGAAAACCATGCTGTTCCTCATCGAGAATAGAATTTGCAGTTGGTTGAATGGCGTTTAAAACTAATGAATCAAAAATTTTGGCAATATGCGATAGAATGGATATAGGTCGATAGTTCGATACAATTGATGGGCTACCTGACTTGGGAATGGGTGTGATTGAGCTGAATTTGAGCATAGAAAAAAAAATACCTTCGTGGAGTGATCTTCTAAATAGAAGCCATAGAGGGTGGGCAATAATTGAACGTAATTCAAATAGAAAATGACCTGAAAGGCCATCAGGACCAATCGATCAAACGTTATTCAACGATGATAAACTGCGAAATACATCATCTACACTAAAGGTAGCATTATTAGGCAAATCAAAAGTACAAGTATCGAGTTTATTAGCATCTAAAACCATACGATCAGTAGAGTATACAGAGGAAAAGTAGTCATGGAACAGATTGGAAGTCTCCTGTTCATTTGTAGAGGTAACATCGTTGTAGGTCATTTTCTTGGGAATATGATTATCAGATCGATTTTTCTTTACGAATTTCCAGAAATCATTGGGCTTGGTTCTAAGTGCTTTTTCTGTACGTTCGATATAGCTTTTATAACATTTTTTCGTTTCATATTTAAGTTTAGCCCGAAGTAAAGAGAAATCACGATAATCAATAATATTTAAAGAGGACTTAAACTTCATATGGGCTTTCTTTTTTAAGGATAGTATTTGTTTTAAATCTTTACTAAACTAAGTAGGATAAGTGGATTCCTTATAATAGGATTGGGGAATGAAATCGAGAATTGATTTATGTAATGCATCATAAATCACATTAACTGCTGAATTAAGTTCATGTTTAGAAAACGTAGAGTACCAATCAAATGAAGATATAAAGGAACGGATTTTCTGATAATTTCCTTTGCGAAAATTGTAATATTTGTGATCTTGATTACAAAAAGGTATAGGGACACTAAAAGGAAGAGATATATCTAACACTGGATGATATTTGTCAATTGGTAGCAATGGTTCAAGTGACTTTTCAACGATTAAATTTTTATCATTACAAAATATTAGGTCGAGAATAGAATTATTTGAGATATAAATATTATTTTTTTGAAAGAAACCGTTAGTTGCAAATGATTCAGGAATGCATGAGGCACGAGCAGAAGAGGTAAAGGAGTATATATTGCCATTATTACCATTATCCCAGGTTACTTCAGGAATATTATAGTCCCCACAAATAATGAGCGTATCATTATGATATTTATTAATCAGGTATTCAACAGAGGAAATATGTGATTCATAGATGATTAGGGAAGAAGAAGGGAGAATATAGACACCACCAACAATAAAGAATTAAAAGTATTTAATTTAAAAGTATTTGTAGGATCATTTTTAGTATTATGTATAAATACTTAATTCAGTAAAATGTATAGTCGAAACTCAATTAACCATACCTCTCGTTATCTGTCATCGCTATCGTGGATGAGGCAATCGCGATGAAGTCGTTGCGGTGACTATCAAATGTATACAATTTTATTCTAATATCCAAAATTTTCGATAAACCCGACATGAATGAACAAATTGAATAATTTTTAATTAAATTTAATCAGTGGCTAACGAGTAACCTGGTCTTATGGCTACCTAAAATACGAAATATTGCATTTAAAAAAGTTCGAGGGTCAAAATAACAGAATATTTTGTTTAAAATTGTTAATTCTAGTTCAGTAGTGTTTAGTATGGTATTTAATATGTAGTATACATGTATATTATTTTTTCTGAATATACACGTAAAGTATATGTATTTTGCAAAATGTATGTTAACCACCTTTTTGATTAATCGTCATATTCCTGGTTCTGACCGTCATAGTTGATCGAGTTCTACTGTATATCTGAATGTTATTAAATGTTATTAATGTTATTAATTTTATTCTTGTATTTTTAAAATTTCAGTTTTTAGTTTTTCAGTTTTTTGTTACCTTAATGAACATAGTTAAATATATAATTCAAATATTTATAAAAAAAATTAATATTCTTGTAGGAAAAAGTAAAAGAAATGAGCCATATACCATACCAAATCATATTATTCAAAAAATGGTACATATAAACCTTAAAAATGTTCACTCTGCAATTAATTATAACATAGAGGATAATTTGAAATTGGAAAAAGGTCATAAAAGAAATAAGAATTATTTTTCTAATGGTAAGTCTGAAAAATTAAATTTAGTAAGAATTTTTATCTATGAAATATAAAAATTATACTTGTATTCATTAGGAACTTATGTATTGTTGTGTTGTTTTGCTCATGAAATATAATAAGAACTAATTATTAACTATAACTGTATTTTTATATTTCAACAAAGTTAAATTTTAATTATCAACCATCTTATTATAAATTTATTAAAAAAAACCTAGTGAATTTTCTGATTATATTCTTATCAGCTTAGCAGTCCATTCGAGACCATTGCTGCCATCAAAATCTCTCTTCATCTGTCTCTCTGATATGCTATTTTTAAAATCGCATTCTGATCTATCATTGCTATCATCATCTTTAGCAACTACGTCAATCCATCGGACGATTGGGTCGTCCTAGGGGTCTTGTTTTATTTATTTTATTGATTAGTACATTTTTAATTAAATGTCTCAACATACATGACCGAACCATTCTACTTGTTTTTTTCCTAATAAAAGAGAGTATTTTTGGCTTATTATAAAGAATCTTTACATTATCGTTACTTCTTTTTTATGTCTGTGTTTCTGGGATAAAGATTAATCCATAAATGCTTCGTAACACTTTCCTTTAGAACATGATATGTTTTCTGCTATTACCTTTGATCAACGACCAGGTTTCACAGATGTATGTTATCACAGGTCTAGCTAGAGGTAGCTATGGTATAGTATTATCTTTGATTCTCTGGATAACAACTAGATCTAAGACGTTTGGTAACACTGAAATAATATCTATTTCCACTAATGATCCATTTGTTTATTTCTATGTGCATATAATTTTTGTTGTTGATTTTCACGCCCAAATACTTAAAATTATCAACTTTTCAAATTTAGAATTATCAACTTCTATGTAATCTATATTTAGTGGTCTTCTCGATACAACCATGTACTTAGTTTTCCCTTCGTTATATGTAATCCTATTCCTTTACTTGTATTTATGAGCTTAGATGTTGCGTTTTCTGATTATATTATTTGACTATTATGATTAATTATAATGATTTTTTGTTAAAAGCAAAAAAAAAATGTCAATATTGCATAGCATGCAGAGTTATTAATGTTTCAATTAAAAATAAACATCCATTATTTCAAGGATTCATTTGTAATGGATGTAATGTAAGTAAATAATTATTTAATTACTAAAGTATATTGTCAAAGTTTAAATGTTCATAGCAAAAATATATTATTTTATTATTATTTTTTATAATATTTTAAATTTATAATAATAAAACTGTTTTAACATTTTATGAAAACAATTTGCTGAACAACTAGTTTAATATTATAAATATATTAATTTTAGTAGCATACAAATCTAGATCATTATATTTGTTTAAACATATTTGTGTATAAAATATAATTAATTTATTAATTGTCAGTATATTATTATTTATTAGAAAGCTGCAAAACAATTCCTAATGCCGATTGCAAAAGACTTAGCAAATGTATGTATTATAAATATTTTATTTTATATTTTAAATAAAATAGTCTTATATTTAAAACTACATTTTATTGCTAAATATTCTTAATCTTATAGGGATGGTATTTATATTATTAAAAACAATAATAAATATAATTTCTACATAAAATAATTTGTCGTAAAGTATAAGTATATTTACAATGTATAATACTATTTATATGTTATGTATTTAACTGATTTAAAATTTTTAAAAACTGTTTTATATTAACATTAATTACTTTTTTCTAATAGGTTCGCTGTTCCATTTGTTTTTCATTAGAAGCAACTGATATAATATTATGTGACTTTTGTGTAAGGTAAGAAAAATATACTATTGTAATTAAATGAAAGCATTTACGGAAAAGTTGATAAAATAGGAGTATAATTTATGTTTAAATTTTTTTTTTAATATGTTAATTTAAAATTTATTTATTCATGGCCAGTAAATTTACATTAGCATAAATAAATTTTTATCATATTCCCATTGATTATTATGAATTATTTATTATAAACAATGTTAATTTTCACATATATAGTTGTGGGTTTTTGACATTGTTTAATTTTGAAAAAATATATTCTACCCTTTGAAAACCAAAATATCTCACAAATTGCATATTTATCAGTTCTGTAATTTTAGTTTTGAAAAAATTTATATTAATTGCATATTTTTTTGGGTGATGTTTAAAATATACTGTATTTTTATTAGGGATGGGTATGAAATCCAAAGATTTGAATTATTCGGATTTAATGAAGTATCTAGATTTATAAATTTGCTTTTTATATAACTCATAATTATTTTTAATTTCTAGTAAAATAAATTATTTTATTTTATTGTAACAACAAGTTAATATTATATTTGATGAATTTCAGTATACTTATCATTAATTCAAAAATTTTTGTAATTTATTTTTAATAACCAAAATAACAATTTATTAAATTGTTGAATTTATTTTATACTTCTATGACTTGCAGTGAATTATAGCATGACTGAATATCCAATTAATTTATTTTAACTACATAACCTTTGAATAGTTATTCAATAAGCTTTTTTGAAGATGAGTTAAATTTATATTATAATACAATATAGGAATGATATAATAATAATTGTTATTAATTTATTTACTTAGATAAGTTTTTTTATCAAATAAAAATTAGAATTATCACACACCAAAATTGAGTTAAATAATCCGGATAATCCATGAGATATGGATTCTTTAAACCTTAATTTGTCAAATCCGGATATGCCCATCACTAATTTTATCATACATTTTATTCTTCAGTATGTATTTTTTTTTTTACATACTCTAATTAAATAATAAAATCACTAATTCATTTTTCCAATCTTCTTGACGATTATTTATATATTAATGTTAAAAAATAATAAGTATAAATATATAGACTATATATTTTATGTTTTAATATTAATTCAATATTTTAAATTTGTATCTAGAGTTTTTTGCAATAATTGTGTGTCGGTTTTTTGTGGTCAACAATCTTTTAATAAAATAAAAAGAGATCAGAATTGGGCATGTTTTGTTTGTAAAAAGAATTCATCAAGTTCACTGTCCTGTGGATTACTGAGCCACTCAATTGAAAAACAAATACAAAATGTAAATATTTTCCTTTATCATTTAATTAAGTACTGTGATTGATAATTATAATTTCAGATTTATAATTTATATCCAGCAGAAAATTCAACAAGTGGTATGATTAAAAACAAAATAAAATGCCAACAATTACAAATATTAGCATTGCAAGATGATCAAAATATTGGTAGTATTTAATTCATAATATTTTCCATACTTATATATTCTTTAATTATAAAATATGATATATTGGATGGATGTTAGGTTACAATAAACATATTTTATTGTTATACCATTCTTTATATGGCAATGATTGCGTGTGGTAAAAATAAGATAATCATACCAATTTTTATCTGAAACATTTACTCTATTAAATAAGTTTTTTCTTATTAAATTCAAAAAATATTAATGTATCATAAGATTTACCTATCTAAATCTTTTTTTTTTTGCTTTTTTATTTTTATTGAAACTTTGTAAAGATGATCTTTTAAATTTTTAAAGTTTTCTTTAAATTATACTATTTTTAGTACAACTTTGTTTTTAATTATTATCTATTGGTTTTTAGTATCAACAATTTTAGAAGAACTAAAATTTCCATTCAGACTTGTTGGAAGTAATTATATGGATGATATTATATTTGATCCTAAGGTTCAACATATCAAACTACTCATCCAATATTATCCTAACTGTGAAGATTATAATGAAAACAAATTTGGTATGTGAATATAAATTTTAAGTAATAATTTAAATTTATAATATTAAATACATATGCTATTTATGATCTATCACTTTGATCGTACTACATAGCTAAGTAAAAATTCAGGGTGCATCCAATGACTATGTATACATAATAGGAACTAACCAAACTATATTTATTTTATTTTTCCATACATATCTGTATTTTAAACTAATTGAATAATTAATATAAAATGTATATATATAGTTTATAGATTTTATGCAGATGGTAATTTTGTAAATTATGAGTAAATCATAAAGCTGTAGCCTAAAAAAATATACAAAAATATGAACATAAAATTACGTATAAAAGATCATAAAAACTAAAAAATAGTAAACATTTAAAAAACTGTTTGCTACACATTCACACACACAAACTAATAAAATGGATGTTTTAATTTTCATACCATAATTTAAAGATTAAATTATATGCAATTGGGTTTATACTCATAAATAATAGTTGTCAAATTTAATTATTTGCATATATAATACAAATATACAAATACATACATATTATAATTTTAAAATTTAATGTATTCAACATTTTTAGTTATATAAATTCTATTTCTAAAATTAATGAATACTTAATTGAAAGATAAACTTTCTAAATTAATGATTTTTTTTATTTTAATTGGCAATGTTTTGATATTTGTCACAGTTGGTAAAGTGTTTTTTGCTGTGGATTATAATTTACTCTAGAATACTATTTTACTAAATTAATTTTTGTTTTCTCTAACCTGATTAATATCAGTTACACCAAGTACCAAGCGTTGTCACATAATCAAATTTAAAGAATTACATCTGTGTTGTAGCATTTAATTTTATAAGCTATACATAATGTTGTGAGCTGCTCGGTTATCTCCTTAGGCTCGGATATTGCGACCAGTTTGATTAATTCCGCCGATCACAAGTTACGTTTTGAATTCGCACTTTTGGAAGTTAACAAGGAAGTTATTGATTCACACAATTATTATATGAACTAATACACTATTTTTATTGAGTCGTTATTTAACATATTAATACGCTTACAAGAAATGAATACACTGTTGCTTAGCTGTTACATGACTCACTCCTCGATAATGGGTGGTCAGGTTAATAATAAATAAAATGGACAAAATGCATAGTCAATATTTGTCTCCACGTACGTACTAAAGATACTAATAATAATAATATGTATACAATATTATACATAAAATATAGTAAATATGTTTTAAATTAATAAGAAGAAAATGGTTAATTTAAATTAAATAAGTGAAATCTTCTCCTTAGGTTATTAAGTTATTTAAAATACATTATATAGCTTATAATATTTATCAAAGTAATAAAATAAAACAATAACTAGTTAATTGTTAATACTCGTAAGTGAGTATATAAATAAATATATACCAATACAGACTTAGAAATTGTTACGTGCTAACCGTTTGATCCGTTAATTCAGTTCAACGTCTCAGTCAACGCTTGATTGGAAGTGTAGTCAGGAATAATTAAGACTTTTTTTCAAAATAATTAAATTTATTTAACTCGTAAAATTATCCTAACTACAATTTTGTAAATATTCTTGGTAGAAATTATCTAAGTCCTAACAATTGTAACTTATAAAAATGATTGATATATTTCTAAGTCCAGACCATAACATACACTGACGTGAAGGTGCTCAGTGCAGCATAGCCAAAACTCGTCTGATTTGCCCTTGTTTTCGGGTCCCTTTTATATGTGATATTATATGTGTGTGTGTAAAATCCCAAGTGTGTGTGTGTGTAAATGTAAACTGATAGCAAAATAATTAAAATAAGATAATTTCCTGTTAATTATGAGTGTGTGCGCGTTATCTCCGGACCGTGACATAATTATTGACACAAATGCCCAGGATGTGGTTTTTGATTAACTATTTATTTTAATTTCTCATAAGAACGTTTATGTGAACCCTTTCATTTGTCCACGCTTGTGATTTCGATATTCTAATTTCTTATTATAATCTCTAGTGTAATAACCACATGAGTACAATAATCTCATCCCCGGTTATTGTCTTATTGTGTGAATACACAGGACGCGACTCTCCCCGTGTTGTGTTTTATTGTGTGACTACGCAGGACGCGACAAAATATTAAATACGCAAAATAAGACTTACAGTAATTCAGTTTAAGAAAAGTTACACTTTCATCAGTTGCGGGGCTCGTGTGTGTTGATGAAAAAAGTGCGACAATATGAAAATGTGTCAGTCTATTCCTGTACCATTTATTTTTGATATTATTTAACATGTTAACTGCCACCTACTTTTTTCATACAATGCCCAGAAGGCCATATGTACACTTGTTTATTTTGACCAATTGTAGGCATCTAAAATGTATATGTATTCTCTAATAAATATTAATAAAAGTACAATTTTGTATGTAATTTTTATTTTACATATTCCCCTATTAATAAATACAGTGAGTTACGCTTAATGCTAGTTTATAGAATCAACCGTTTATTGTGAAAAGAAAAATTCCAAACCAAATCTTATGATTCTAACGTTAAATTAATCTTTTATTAGAATCACTATATATATGTTTTTTTTCATTTTCCGTTCTGTCTAATGCAGTTTTATTTTAAAATAATCCTACTATTACAGCTATAAAATTAACAAGTGTCATTTTTCATCTTGTTACACTTATGTAAATTCTAAGAGCGTTAACCATAGACGTATTACAAATAATATCGAACATCACTTTTCTATACCTTTTGATAGATTTCCAAAGACAGGTATGATACGATCTCATTTGGTCTGTTAAATCAATATACCCTTTCCCTTTATTGTAATCAGCAACAACACGAGGCTTTTCAATCGTTGTTCTTCTTCGAATAAAACTTATCATTGAATTATCATGTTTTGTACTTAATATAAAAACATCTTGGCGGTCTTTCCATTAAGTACTATTATACCACGTCTATTTCGTCTTGCAATAACACCTCGAACTAATTTTTTTTTTGGTTACTTCTGTTGGATTTCTCTTGCGGTTTGCTCTTAATATCCCTACTACATAAGTTTTTGTCTGTCGAGCAATTTTTCAACTAAATCGATACTGATATACCAATTACCTACGAAAAGACATCTAAGTAAAGTTCTATAAGTTGCGTAACAACTTTAGTTGGTACTGATTGTCCAATTTCAGCTTCTTTCCCCGCATATATTTTATACTATAGTGCAGTGGTTCCCAACCTTTTATGAGTGTGACCCTAAAATTTTAAATTTAACTTTTGGTGACCCCAAAAAAAAGAACATTATAAAATTGCAAACATCACTTTCATTTATTCACATCATATCGGTAAATATATTGTTACATTTATCTATCCTCAAATACTAAATAAAATAAATTTATAAAATACAAATTAAAAACTGATCAACATACGTGACTTACGTCTTATAATATTATAAAAAGGAATTTATTCTTAGTTTCAAATTTGACATAATATTAATTGTATTAACTCTTACTTAATGACTTCCTTGATGCTGAACATACTCCATGAGTTCTTCAATATTTGGATGTATATTCATTGAAAGTGCACATCGCATATCGTGTTGAGCGTCAAGCCGGTTTCTATACTTTGTTTTGATGACAACTAACGTAGAAAAACCGGTTTCACATAAGTATGTGGTTGGGAATGGTAGCAATGCATTTTCAGATTCTCTTGATAAAATCGGTTTATCTTTTAGTTGTGCCCAAAATTGCGTCAAACACATTCTTGAAAAATTTTCTTTTAAGACTTGACTGGCTTGAAGGTCAAGAAGTTCTTCTTGGAACACGTAAATGTCTTCACCAACTTCGTGAACAGAAATTTCAAAAGGATTTCTTACCCAACTGTATTTACTGAGCTCTACGTTTTCTGGTATATATCGATTGAGTTCTAACTGTAATTTGGCCAAGTACTCTTGAAGCAGTAATTTTAAATCATTTAATGTTACCTTTGTTGAATCTTCAAGAAATTCACTTAAAAGTGGAAATGTAGCAATTTTTCCTTGAAACATTTTTTCCCGCCAAAGTGCGAGCTTTTGTTTGAATGATGAAATTTTTTCGCCAATATCGACCATTGTCCTATTCTTCCCCTGCATCTCAATATTCAATTCATTTAAGCGTCCAAAAATATCACTTAGAAAAGCCAATTTAGCGACCCACGAATCGTCATTAAATTTATCAGCCAATGAGTGTTTTTTTTCCGTTAGAAAAATTTGTATTTCAAAACGCAAAGACATTACACGGGTAAGAATTTTTCCACGGGAAAGCCAACGTACATCCGAGTGATAAAGTAAATTTACATACTGTGATCCCATCTTGTCACACATGGCATGGAATATTCTTGAATTTAGTGCTCTTGATTTTATGAAATTGACAATTTGAATTACGTCTTGAAGTACTAAAAAAAAGTTCTGGCTGAATTATTCTAGTTGCTAAATTTTCTCGATGTAAAAAACAATGAATAATTACAACATTTGAGTTAACTTCCTGAACTCGTTTACAAAATCCTATTCGATTTCCAAGCATTGCCGGTGCACCATCCGAACAGATTCCAACGCAATTACACCAAGCTAGATTATTTTTCCGAAAAAATCCATCAACTTTATTAAAAATATCTAAGCCTATAGCTGTTGTAAGAAGAGGTTCACAAAATAAAAATTCTTCATGAAAATCGTCGGTACTTCGATAACGTATGAATACCATCAATTGTGCGTTATTTTGAATATCAACAGATTCATCAATTTGTATGGAAAATTTATTAGCTGCAATCACTTGATGTACTGCTGAATTTACTAGCTGTTTTAAAATATTTTCAGACATAAGGTCTATTCTTCGTTTAACTGTGTTATCCGAAAGTGGGATTAATTCCAATTTGTTAGCAATGTCATCTCCGCAGACCGTTCTAACCATAGAAATAGCTGCTGGTTTGATAAGTTCCTCACCAATATTATGTGCCTTTTTTGAGCGTGCGATTTTCCAAGCAACA